GAGAGAGAGAGAATGGCACACTGCCCCCTTCCTCTCACCACCACGTGGGTAGGCCTCCCCTCCCGCGCCTGTACAGTAAAGCCTAGACCAACGCTCTTCGATATAACATGGTTCGCCTGCAGCACTAGCCCTCCCCACTCGAGGAATAGTACACTCTGGATGACAAGATAACGGGCTACAGTTGTAAGTTATGGACAACTCTACTTTGTCCAATTCCGAGGTAGCCATTGACATGACAATGTAAAACTTCATTTTGTATGATATATCTCCTGAAGTATGTAGATGAACGTTATCTGTTCGACCAGAAAACCCATGAGTGTTAATTTAGAAAGTGACACTGAAGATAATTGGGCGCGTTGAGGGAGGCTATGTCGTCCTTATTTTCATTTAAAGGTAAGACGTTGATTGCGGCTCATTTTTACGATATAACGAATAGACACAATCCTTTTCATTAAAAGTGTGGACTATTGACGAAAGTTCCGCCATGAATGCCAATCCGCTATTAACCATTACGGTAAGGCTGAAGTACTGAAGAAGAAAGGGAACAAGAAAACTGAAGACACCATTTTAAAGCAAACGATTTTCGTTTTCTTATTCCTCACATTCTTCTTCAATTCAGCTCTGCCGAAATGCATTAGTGATGATTGGGTCCCAAGTAGAAAACCATCGAAAGGCCGTTGCCATTAGCATAAGTCTCTCCTCATTGACGGACTTGCGAAATGACTGAATATTCATTCACCCACACGGCCGTTGGAGAGCTCAAGCCGACATAACCTCAACAACCCCAAAACAAGCGACACAAGCGACACAGTGGAATGGTCCGGTGCGCACCTTCAGCAGCTTGCCCCTGCCATAGCTTTCTCCCGGCCACCAGTCCTCGGCCGGCACGGCGCAGTCCGTCGCCCCGCAGTCCGTCGCGCACTCCGCACTCGTCCGCGACAACCACTCCGCCCTCTCGGCGGACAAGGCTACTCGGCACGGACTATATTTGAGGCCGGGCGGCTGCCCCTGCTGCCGCCGGTAGCGACGCCGGCCGGTGGCCGCCGCACAGCCTGCGGGCCGGACGGCGGCGGCGTTCGACGGCAGCGTCGTGGTCGCGTCGACGACGGCTGCAGCGGCGGCGGCTGTGGCGACGACCATGGCGTCACCCACCTCCTGGTAGCCGGTGGGCCGGTAGCTGGCGTGGTGGTACAGGCCGGGGCCCGAGCCCCGCAGCACGGAGCCATAGCCGGAGCTGTAGCCGGAGCCGCCGCCGGAGGCCCCGGAGGTGCTACTGCTCCGCTTCTTGGTGTGCGACCCATGGGCTCCGGTGAACATCATGGTGCCCGCCAGTATTTTCATGGCTGTCCGTCGTCACGTCCCGGTCCCGCCGCCCGCCGCGCCGCACCATGGCGCGCGCCGCCCGCGCCGCCGCACGCCCGCCGCACGCCCGACCCGCCCTCACGCACGCTGCGCACGCGCGTGGGCCTGAGCGTGAGCACGCTGAGGCCGGTCCTGAGGCGCGCTGACGCCACGCTCACGCTCGCGCCACCGGCAGACTGGCCGCTGGCCGCCGCTGGCGTGCAGAGCCCGGGCTGGTGCTGGTAGGTGGTTGGAGAGGGCAGCTCACGCTGAGCGCGCTGAGCGAGGTGGCCCGTCCTCCCCGCCGCCCG